CTGCTTCATCACAATACTACCCTGTTTTGATTACTGTAGGCTCCTACTAGGTCTTGATCGTGTAACGTAAGTTCTTGACATGTGTTCTTTTTTTTTTTTTAGAGTTGTTTTGAATGTTCTAATTCCTTTATCTTTCTATACAAATGTTAGAATGATCATGACAGTTTTTACAAAAGTCTTTTTTTTTTTTAAGATTTTATTTATTTATTTGACAGAGATCACAAGCAGGCAGAGAGGCAGGCAGAGAGAGAGGAGGAAGCAGGCTCCTCGCTGAGCAGAGAGCCCGATGCAGGGCTCGATCCCAGGACTCTGAGATCATGACCCGAGCCGAAGGCAGCGGCCTAACCTACTGAGCCACCCAGGCGCCCCGGAAAGATTTTATTTTCAAGTAAATGCTACACCCAACGTGGGGTTCAGACTCACAACCCAGAGATCAAGAGTTGCTCCGTCCACTGACTGAACCATCCAGGCACACCTAGTTTTGCTGTTACTATATCCAGTATTGTTTTTAAATTTCAATTCCTTATTTTCAGAGGGGGAAGGGGCATAGGGAGAGGAAGAGAGATAATCTTTTTTTTTTCCCTTTTTAAAGATTTTATTTATTTAGTTGGCAGAGAGAGACACAGTGAGAGAGGGAACACAAGCAGGGGGAGAGGGAGAGGGAAAAGCAGGTCTCCCACCGAGCAGGGAGCCTGATGTGGGACTTGATCCCAGGACCCTGGGATCTTGACCCAAGCCAAAGGCAGACACCTAACGACTGAGCCACTCAGGCACCTGAAGAGAGAGAATTTTTTTTTTAAGATTTTATTTATTTATTTGACAGACAGAGATCACAAGTAGGCAGAGAGGAAGGCAGAGAGAGAGGGTGAAGCAGGCTCCCCGCTGAGCAGAAAGCCTGACGTGGGGCTTGATCCCAGGACCCTGAGATCATGACCTGAGCCGAAGGCAGAGGCTTAACTCACTGAGCCACCCAGGCGCCCCGAGAGAGAATCTTAAGCAGGCTCCACACCCAAGGCAGAGCCCAACATGAGGCTGGATCTCACAACCCTGAGATCACGACCTGAGCGGAAATCAAGAGTCTGACTCAGCTACTGAGACACCCAGGTGCCCAGCCACTGATTCTTAGAGGCAGAAAGCAGATTTGTACTTACTTAGACAAAGGGTTTCAGGAGGAGGTAAGGATGAATTACGAAGGGACTTGAGGAATACTTTGGGGGAGATACCTATGTTCACTATCTTGATAGTAGTAGTTTCATGTGTCAAAACTCATCAAATTGTATACTTCAAATATATGCAGTTTAATGTATATTAATTATATCTTATTAAAGCTATTAAAACATGTGTCCTTGAGCTCCAGGAGACGGTAGGAATAATGTGACCAGCTAATCTATCCTCAGGCCAGATACTAAACCAGATCCAAACTAGGTGTGGGGAGGGACCAATTTTACCTGTTATAGAGAGTCAGGTAATAAGACACTTACCCCCACTATGGGTTTCCCAGAGATTAGGCTTCCATGTTCAGAAACCAGGAAGATATGATACAATGGTCCGCTCTTATCCACAGAGGATAGTCTCCAAGATCCCCAGTGGATGCCAGAAACCACCAGTAGCTTTGAACCCTATAAATACTATTCTTCCTCTCCATACTTATGACAAAGTTTGGTTGATAAATTGGGCACCATGAGAGATTAACAAAAGTAGAACTACCATTAGAATTTTTTTTTCCTTCTTCAGTTTCATGGATACAAGATGTAAGCGAGAACTTACCACTGACCTTAGCAATTTCAGCATACAATTTTTTTTCTCATTAAGTAGAGAGCTTTCACTTTTTTTTTTTTTAAGATTTTATTTATTTATTTATTTGTCAGAGAGAAGTAGAGAGAGAGAGCACACAAGCAGGCAGAGAGGCAGGCAGAGGTGGAGAGAGAAGCAGGCTCCCCGCTGAGCAAGGAGCCTGATGCAGGACTCGATCCCAGGACCCTGGGATCATAACCTGAGCCGAAGGCAGCGGCTTAACCCACAGAGCCACCCAGGCGTCCTGAGAGCTTTCATCTTTGCAGCTAGTTTTCCGCATATCCGAATGGCCAGCATCACCGTTCTTGTGCTCTGGGGCCATTATTAAGTAAAATGAGGGTTCCTTGAACACCGGCACTGTGACACAGTGACTTAACAGGTGGATAGCGTATACGGTGTGGATCCGCTGGACAAAGGGATGAATCACATCCTGGGCAAGACCGAGCAGCGGGACACGTGAGGTTCCATCAAGCTACTCAGAATGGTGCGCAGTTTAAATCGTACGGGTTGTTTATTTCTGGAATTTTCCATGTAACATTTCAGATTGTGGGAACTGAAACCACAGAAAGTGAAACTGCGGATAAGGGGGAGATGACGTACATGTGGTTCCTATATTGTTGGGAGAGACCTTAAGAGTTGAAGGAAGTTAGCAGAGTCCTGTAGATTATAGCCTGGGGCAGTGCGTCCCTCAACCCCTGGCAAAGGGTTTTCCGGTGGTGGCAGCAAGTGGGAAATCCTTATTTTTAACTCACTCAAAGTTTCAGAAAAGAAGGTTAACCTGCCTGCTTGTTTCTCCACGGGGTGCCTCCAAACCACAAATTCCTCATTCCTACTCTGGTTTATCCTAATAAGAAGTAGGCTGATCCCTTAATCCCTGTTTAAAGGGCCCTTGTTTATTGAAGCCGTAAACTCTGGGCAAAGGGTCATAAATCACTCTAGCTCCATCCAGAGTGAGAGATGGGTGCAGGCTAAGAATGGGCACACAGAGGTAAGGACAATGTGGACAACGTCCATGTTGTCTGTTTTCACTGTAGACATACTCCTGTGAGTGCCCATGTTGGGCTGAACCCAGCCTCTACTCTTCTCAGCTCTGCTTTGTCCCTGGAAGGAGAGGTGGAGGCAGTGCCGTTGTATCATCCTTGTCCCCTAACCCCACTCTTCCCGCTAGGCTTGGCCAATGGAAGGCACCAGTAGGAAATCTGAGGACAGGAGAGCTAGAGACTTGTGTCCCCCCAGTGACTGGTTTTCTACTTATGGCCATAGCTCTGGTCAGATGCCTCCTTTCCCAAGACTAGAGCACCCAATTCGTTGGGGCACAGTTCCCTCCCCTTGTTCCTTCAGGTCTAGGGCTGATAAACAGCTCCCCGCTTAGAAGCCCCTTCTAATTGTTGGGTTCTTCACCATCACTGGGTGGTCCCCTGCTTCTAGGGCACACTGGGGTATGCATGCTTTCCTTCTTCAATTCAGTTAGCCCTTCCAGTGGGCAACCCCCCCCCCCAGCCACTCTGACCCACACACTTCATAGTCCCCAAACACATCCTCATCGACTATCCCTATCTCCCCAAAGCCCCCAGTTTGCTGATACACCCACCTTGGCCTTGACTTTCCTTCAGTTTCTCTAATTCTTCCTCCCTGGGCTCAGCCATCCTTCGTCTAAGTCTATGCAGACATTGGTCTGTCCAAAATGGAAGTCATCTCCTTTTCTAGAAGTCATCTTCTCTACTGTGCTTCCCTCCTCCTTTATTGTCATCACCATTCTCCCTGACGCAAAGCCTTGAAAATTAGGTGACAGCTCACCTCTGGAGAACCAGAGAAACCCAAGGGGAGTCACTCACAAACTCTCCCATACAAACACACTTTAAGAAAAGGTGAAACCAGCAAGCTAGCTACACAAATGTGGCCTCAAGGCAATCTCCCATCACACCGCTGCCCTTAAAACCTTCCTCTATAGCATTTCTGATCCCACCAGTTCCTCCTCCCTCCCGCCATTCCCTACCTACATCCACGCATATTCCCAAACTGCCCGGAGAACAAGAACTTTCTCCTCATTCTTTCGTAGGCCCTCAGTGTCTCTCACCTACCAGAGGAGTCTCCCGGTGGGTTCCCTCCCTTCCTTCTCGCCCCCATAACCTGGTCCACACAATGCCAGCCCCCCAAAATCACAGGTCTGAGCAAAAGCCTTCAGTGGTTCGCTAGTGCCTGCAAAGGCCCACCCCCTCGTTCGCGTCTCCATTGAAATTGTGAATTTTTATCAAAAGCTCTTAGTTTAAAAAAAAAATGCATGTCTTCCTTGATTTCAGAGTTTCAAAGCATTTAACTTCAAAACCCCAACACTGGCATTTAACGGGAAACTTCTAACTTTCTCCAGCGTTTCCGCTAAGGATCGCACTTCCCTCTGCCTGTCGGTACCTCGGCGGACATCGGAGCAGGACGGGACGGGCGGCTCAGGCTCGCGGATAAACAGAAACAGAAACAGAAACGGGTTTCTACCAATGAATACATCCTGGCCGGTTCCAGACCGGGAGAGTTTTGGATAGAAGGTGCTGGAAGGCTCCCACTGACCCAGCCGGTCACCCCCGGGTGGGCGATCATCGCAAAGGGGATGGGCAGGGCAGCAGCGCAGCAGGGTCAGGGCACGGGCAGAAGCAGAGGGAGCTGGGTGCGGGACGCTGACGGGAGCCGGGCCTGGGGGCAGCGCTTCCCGGGGCTGCGGCCGCCGAGCCGGTCCATCCTGCGCTCCCCAGTCCCGGCCCGAGCCTCGTAAACAGGCTCTTCCCAGGCGGCCTGGATTCCCCACGGGAGGAACGGGGCTCCCGCCCACGTGACCCCCGCCCACCGCGCGGGGATCTGGCAGCGGCCGCCGCGCAGAAGCGCGCCGCTCGCGGGGAAGGGGCGGAGAGGGCTGCGCGCCGGGCGTCGGGGGAGGGGCGGGCGAGGGCAGGTCAGGGCAGCCCCGGGCCCGCCCTTCGCCCCGCCCCCGCAGGAGGCGGTTGGATCCGATGACTGACAGGCGTCCGGGCTAGTCACGGCGCGCCTCGCGGGCCGGCTCGCCCAGGTGGGCGGGGCGCGCCGAGGGGCTCTGGAGGGGGGCGGGGGCGGGCGGGGAAGCCTCTGGGTGGGGCGGGGCCTCGGGAGAGTAGCAGCGCCCCCAGCCAATAGGAGGCGGAAGCCGTCCCGTTAGCGCCGGATCCCAGCGGGTAGGGCGGGGCGGGCGGCGCCGAGGGGATCCCGGGGCGGCTGAGGACGCCTGAGTCGGCTCCGCGCGGCGACATGGACCGGATGGCCAGCTCCATGAAGCAGGTGCCCAACCCCCTGCCCAAGGTGCTGAGCCGGCGCGGAGTGGGCGCGGGGATAGAGGCGGCCGAGCGGGAGAGCTTTGAGCGGACTCAGGTGAGGACCGGGGGACCCCGGGGCATGAGTGGCTGGGGCATCCCGAGAGACGCAGTGTCCGGGAGGGGCTTTGAAGGGGGTAGAGGTCTTCAGGCCCAGGGGAGGACGGGGCAACGGGGCCGCGAAAGGGAGCCTCTGGTGCGCAGGTCGAGGCGCTCCTGGGGAGGTCGGGGACCCGGGGTTATCCCAGCTGGCCTGGGGAGACGGGCAGGGCGGCTCGGAGGAGCTGACACGATCTGTGCGGCGGGGCAGGGCAGGGGCCACAGGGGCGGTGAGAGCGGAAGGGACGGAAGAGGGGCCGAATGGAAGAAGAGCCCCTCGGCAGGGGAAGCTCATTAGGGGGCCCCTCGGAGACGCAAGTGTGGCGGCGGAGAGCGGAGCGCTGGACTGGGATGCGACGCGGGGACCCCTTTCCTGCCCTCTCGATCGCTTCTGGGTTGCACTGATACTCCCCCCACCCTAGCACCCCCTTCCTGGTGCCTCCTGCTTGGCTCACACCACCCCCAGCTGTCGGCCTCAGAGGGCCGGGCTGGAGGGGTCTGGGCGGCGAGAAGGAATGTAGGAAATGCGACGTGTGGCCCAGCTTGGAAAATGGGGGCTGGAGGAGGGGGCCGGCCAGGGGCCAGGGTCAGGCCATTGGCCCGACAGCCTGCTGCTGGTCAGGATGAGCTGCCCAGTGGTGCCCAGAGCCCTGATAATGGGGTGTTGATTTCATCCCCCAAGATGTGCCTGACAGCGAGCAGGCAGACTGCCCTATTTGTCCAGCCTGACCAGGGCTGGGGGCCAAAATTCCCCAGTGGCATCAACAAAAAGCCACAATCCATTTTTACCTCGGAGTTCGAATGCCTGGTGTATTGATTGGACTGAATAAAGCTGACATGTTTCTGGTGTTCATCAGCTCGTTTGTATGCAAAATCCCATTTCAAAGGGCACAGCACTTCTTCTAATCCCAGTGCCAAAGTTGTGCGGGCAGATTTGTTCCTCGCCCTTGCGCTCAGGGTGGAACCTTTGAAGATCCAGCTGGGCCTCCACTGCCAGAGGCTGGTCCCCCTTGCTGTGTTCTGCTCCCCCCCTCCCCATCCCCAAACACAGTACAATGTTAAGGGCTTTGGGGTTTTAGGTTGAAAAGCTTGCAAGGACCTGACAGAGTTCTGTGTATGGAATCTTGAAAAGGATCAAGCTTTCCCCTACAGGATCAGCCTCTTCTCTTTCCAGAATGCTTTTGGCCGGTTGCAGGTGTGTCTGGGTGATGGAAAGGAGGGAGTGTCCCCTCCCTGGGTCATCCTACCCCAGAGAGGGATGGGAGCATTAGGAAAGACAGCAGTTCCCTTCTCAGCCTCCCAGGGACCGGCTGGGGTTGAGACTTCTTTTCTCTGGCTTTGTGGACTGGACCCCTGCAAAGAAAGCAGCTTTCCGATGGCTTGTCCACTTTGGGTATTAACTGCCTCAACTCACTGCCTGGTCCTGAGGCTTCTTGCCCCAGCAGGCGGTGTGAATAGCCTTCTTCTTCCTCTTTTTTTTTAATGGGAAAGGAAAAGGAATAGATGTTATTTGTGATAACCCAGTCCCCGTCTGGAGTCTCAAAGAACTAAAAACCTGAGCGCTAGAGGAATACGCATAAAACTTTGACCCATTATACCAATGGTAATTAGGTTTGTGAAACCTTCCCCCCAGGGCTAGCGTGTCCCCTTGCTATCCGGGGACAGCCCAGCAAGGAGACTCTGGAGTATTTTACACGTGGAACACTTGCAATTGACTGCCTCTGAGTGGCTCGTTGACCGGTGGGTTGGGGTGGGGTGGGAGTGAGGAGGAGGCAGGCTTGAGCAGGAAAAGAGAGTTTTTCTATTATTCAAACCGTAAGGGGAGGGGGTAGGAGAGTGAAGAAAAAAGAACAATGCTAAAACTTGGCATTAGTCTGCAAAAGCTCGTTTTGTTTGAGGACTTTGAATGAATCCAGTGTGTTATGAGATAAAATGAGTTAGAAAAAATTTTTAATGAGTTGAGAGACCATGAGATCAGCCAAGGTGTAGTGATAATTGTAGCTAATTATCCCGTTTGGCACTGCTCTAAGTACTTTATTGTATTACCTTCTTTAATCTCTGCAAGGACCCGTGAGGTGGGTATCAGCCCCATTTTCCGGGAGGACATTGAAGCACAGAGAGGCTAAGTCACCTGCCCAAGGTCACACAGCGGGAAGTAGTCCCAGCCTTTAACCACTGGCTTGTGTTGCGAGCACGAAGGCGCCTTTGTAAACTTCGGAGCACACTTTTAGTGATTCTTGCTGTAATCCGGGGAGACCTAAGGAAGCATGCATGTGAGTAGTGGTGCAGGCTCTGATGAACTCTTCAGTAAGGGACAGAAATATTCCTAGGTAAGGTGATAATGACCAAGACCGTATGCAGAAAGACCCGGCTGTGGGTGTGGGGAGAGCTTGGGAGCCCTCACCAGGATCTAACCACCAGCTGGCATGAGACAGCGCTTGCAGAGTGGGAGAGAAGGGGAGGGGGTGTTCCAGAAATGGGGATCCACAAAGGAGACATCTGGAGGTGAATGCCGGTGAGGCTCAGTGGCCCAGGGGGAGGCAGCAGCAGAAGCTGGTCGCTCCCACCTCTCAGCCCCCAGCACCTGCTACCTTGTACAGTCACTGGTCCTCTGAGTTGCCCTCAGTAAACTAGGAGCTTCATGAGAGCAAGATTACTCTTACTGTCTCACCTGTGTCTTCGGGTTCCTGAGGCTTGTGATCGTGGGGATCCAGCTGTGGATGGGAGTAGACAATAATTTGTTACTTTCCGCAGGAAGCCCTCGCCTGGGTGGGTAACTCAGCTCAGGGCAGCGGGGATTTCTGTAATTACCTTATGCTTTTTCCTAATGGCCCCAAGTTCCCTCCTAGTCCAGCTTTGTCTCCTGCTTTCTCAGGAGCCCTGCCCCATGCCTATCAGAGGACTGTAATTTCTCTGCCTTCCTTCCGGTCAGGCCAGTGTCCCTGCTGGAGCGAGGACCCCAGACTCACCTGCTGCAGCCCCCATCTCTATGTGTCCCTCATCCAGCCCATCACAAGCAACCTTTAGGCTCTAGGGGAATGAAAGATGGTTCTTGCCCTCAAAGAAGCTGCTGTGAGAAAGCTGCCTTGCCCAAGCACTTTATACAGCATGATTTAACTATGTTGGGGCTACACTGTGGTTGGGCATTACCATGCCCATGTTATGGATGAGAGCTTAGTGACTTGCCCAGGGCCACCCATAGATGATTGAAAAGCAGGATTCAGATCCAGGAGTCCAGGTTTCAGGCCCTTTCCCCCACCCTGTCCTCATGTTGGCCAGCAGGGCAACTCTGGAATGAACCAGGAGGGCTGACGTTCGTAGACACACCAAATACCCTGTCTATATTTATTTAGCCGGAAAATGGTTTTCTCTATGGTTTGTTTATTTTTTTGCTACCATCCATTTAGTGAGCACATAGCGTGGAGGGGACACAGAGATGAGTAAGATAAAGAGACCAGCCAGGAGGAGCTCGTGAGTCAGCGGGGAGGGAGACCAGCCACAACCGGGCTCTTGTACACAGAGGTCAGAGGACTTACAGCACCGTCATTTTGGGAGCTGTTAGCAGTGCAGGACCTACCGAATGAGAGCTTTCATTTCAGCCAGAGCCCTGGGTAGCCCTGTGCACGTTGAAGTTTGCTCTCTGGCCGGTGATTGCTGAGATCAGAGGAGAGGATGGTGCTCTGGAAACACGGAGCCTTTAGTCCCAGTCTGTTTGGGTCGATCCCACTACAGAGAGCAGGATCCTAACCAACCCTGAGTTGGGAAGAGCCAGGAAACTTGGACTCTTGAGAAGAAAAGACAGAAACAAATACTTATGGAGGGCCTGGTAGGCACTAGACACATCCTGGGTGATTGATAGCCATGATCCTGTTTACTAGCTCAAGTTCAGAGAGGCCAGGTGACTTGCCCAAGGTCACACAGCAAGTAAACAGAGAAGCCATCTGAAAATCTGACGACCAAGCCCACATCCTTTTCCATGTTTAAGTCAGGGGATGTTTCTACCATTTCGCTCAGGATCTTCAGTTCAGCCTTTGATTCACCTGCTGAAAAAATCATGGGGTTGGACCAGAGCGATCAACGCTTCTCAACCCCGGCTACTCGGGAAGTAGCTAACACGAATGGCACCGTCCCCCGACCTGATCCCTGCTGGCTCCCTTAGTTGGCATTGAAAAGGTAGAAAGGATGCTAAGAGCTTTCTTTGAGCTTGTACACCTCCGGCTTCCTCTCATTGGTAATGGTGGGAACAGCTGACATTCACCACGTTTACTATGTGCACGTGCTAAAGGCCTTTAATGAACCACACCTCTCAGTTCTTGGAACGAATTTATGACGTATGATCCATGTTTTACAGATGAGGAAATCAAACCTTAGACGTGTTCACAGCCAGCTCAAAGTTCTGAAGGAGGTGTCCGAGCTGGGACCCAAACTCGGGAACACCGGCCCCAGAGCCTTGGCTGTGCCTGATCGCCACCCCTGCGTCACCGCCCGGCCTCCTCAGCTCTCTTCTTCTTTCCTCTAGCCAACAGTTGGGTCCCCAAGGTGCTAACCTCACCCCACTTCTCTTTTACCTTCTGTCCACTTCCTCTGTGCTCCCCTCATCTGACAGTTTCTGTTCCTGTGTCCATGACGCCACCTCCCCACGTCTGTCTCCCAACTTCCTGGCCTGTGTGACCACTTCCCATGGGTCATTTGCCCCCAGATAAGCCACACATGCCCCAGACTCTCCTTCGGGCCTTCCCCACCTTCAAATGCCAGTGTCTGGTCCCTGTCAGTCCCCATCGTCTCCTCGGCGTCCTTTCCGAGTCCTCCCTTTCCTCTGTCCTTGCAGCCACATCAGGCAGTGTGACGTCGCTCCTTTGCTCTGTACCATTCCTGCCCTTACTACCTCTTGCCTGTGTTGGTTGTAATCCCATCCTCCCTGCCTCCCAAATAGCGGGGGCCAGATGGCTTGTCTCAAAG